ATTTTAAGTATGTGTTCAAATATATAGACTAATTCGGTGGAACTAACCTGGAAAAATAAATATGAAAGTCAATTAAAATATAAAACAGGAGATAAAGTTCTTCTTTTTTAATTTAATTGGTGCAAGTGTATTTATTTAGTGGTTCATATAATTCTGCTTTGATTTCAAATTATGTCAGTTTTGGTCCTCCGTAATGCAGAAGCCTGCTAATTATTTATTCATTCATGTCAGGTGTGTTGGAGCAGAGAAACAAGTGAAACATGCAGGGCTGCGGTCCTCCAGGACCAGGATTGCCCATGCCTGGCTCAGAGGAACTGAAGGTGGACAATGTCTCCATCGCGCCCAGGTAAAACCTTTGTTTATACTTTTAAACTTCAGCAAATCAACAACTTCTCTACGCAGCTTTAATTAGCAAAATCCCACGACTTTGTCCTCATCCTCCCTACAGCTGACAATCAGTGCCTAGAGTTTAACTTATAAAATAAATCTTAATTTAAACTGTGGCATGAAAAGTGACGGGTGATGTGCACTCCTTCAAAGAGTTCTAGCTTTTTATTCACTTTCTGCCTCCCTGACATTTTTAGAGCGTTTTGTTTCCCGGACACGTAACCTTTCTGTTTGAAATACAGCCGTTATTGATCCTGAACCCGCTCCGTGTGCCGACCGCTGTCACCGGCGTCTGATCATATTTCTTCCCCTACATCAAAGGCACGCTCTCTGCAGCCCAGAGACCCGGCGGACGTGACGGCACGGCGCAGGAGCGGAGGACAGATGAGGTCACCGACGGCTCTCGGAGCTCATGAACGGCGCACGGCGCATACTAAGGAGTTATCACCGTGCTGCACTGCTCCTCCCTGAGGACACGCAGGAGCTGATGTTCACAGAGTCGACTCATTAACTTCTACAACTACCACTTTAAATAAGGATGATTCTGGTCCGCGTTTAAATAAAACTCATGATAATTAGAGAGTTATGATGAACAGGCTTGTCAAAAACAATAAATCCTACATAATTTCTTTAATCAATCATAGATTTTAAATTTCTGCCTCAGTAGTAAACTCCATTTCCCCTCCCTGCTGCCTTGTAAAACATTTGTTCTCATCATTCTGCAGCTGTTCACAGCTGGAGCTTTGTTTCCTGCCAGGTTTGAGCTTCTTCCATTTTCATCATTATTTGTCCACTTGATGGCGATCGTGTTGCTTTCACGGACGGTCAGTCTCTGCAGAGCTAAAGTGCCCAGCAACACAGCATCAGCTCTGAGGTGAAGAGGATGCTCCGGTCACATGACGCAAATAAACATCTGCGCCTGATCGAGTCGCTGAGTCGCTTTAGATGATGCTGATTCAGCGTTTGCGCTGTTTTCATATTTTGTTGTTTTCATTTAGAATTTGTACTGCTTTAAACAATAATATAAAATGTTTAGCTCACTCAGGAGGTGCGTGCTCTGACTTTTAGTTTCTGTTACTATAATACTTTTCAAAAATATTTAACTTTATTTACAAATATTTTCCATAAAAACACATTAAGATCCCTTCAAAAATGTTCTTTGAGAATATTTAATGCATTATTGTCTTCTTACGTTACTTCTTATTTTAGTGTTTAGCTACTGTTACTTTATTGAAATTCTCTTATTTGGTTGATTTATGGTATTTTATCAGTTATGTTTAGGGCTCATAAAAACACGTTAGCTTCAAACATCCAATTACACTTTATTAAAAGAGAGAGATGTTATAATCTCAAGGGGATAGAAATGTTTGTGAGATCTAAAGGAATGGAGTACTTCAGTCCAGGGAATTAAATTATGGAATAATCTGGAAGATGACATTAAAAATGCCAGATCAACATGTATATTTAAGAGAATGTTAATTGAATTGTTAATTGAATTGAATGAAGGTTAATTTACTGGAGAAATATGTAAATGTGTGAATTGTTGTTCAAGGAGTTAAACTTTTATTAAATTTTCTTTTCGTTTTTTGTAAATTGTAGATTATTTTTGATTGAATTTGTTTATTTGAGAAAAGGGGGCAGATTTAAGATTTTTTCTTCTTCTGCTACCTTTCATTTAATTTATTATTAGTATTTTTGTTGTTGTTGAATTTATGTTGTTTTTAAAGAAATGAATAAACTAAACTAACTAACTAACTGTGCTGCTGCCTTTAGCTTTTAGCTAGCATTTTGATACTTTTTACTCACATTTGGCTACTTTTAGCCATAATTTAGCTTTAAGATGTTTTTTTTATATTTCTAACTCACTTTAGCTACTTTTAGTCAATCTTTAGGATTAAGGATTTAGCCAGCTTTTTGATTTTATCTTTTAGCTAACCTTTTGCTATTTAGGTTTTAGCTAGTTTTATCTTTCAACCAGCCTTTCGGCTTTTAGCTTCAGGCTAGCCTTTCAATACTTTTATTTAGACTTTTGCTGCTTTTAGCTTTTAGTTAGTTAATATTTTACTTCTTTTAGCTTTAACAAATGGGTTTTAGCTTCTTCAACAAATTTCAGTTAAATCCTTTTTACTGAAAACACAATTTCACCCTTTTTAAAATTATTATTATTACTATAACTATATATTCTCAGGTTAATGTTTTATATCTGTAGGAAAAAAATGCGTTGTTCAAAATGGTATGTCCGAATAAAAAATGAGGACAATAAGTTTCATTTTCCTGATTGTTTGTTTACTTCGTCTCTCTCCCTCTCTGTGCTCCGCTACACAGGAGCTCAGCTGACTCCTCCCCTCATGTTTTCTTAGTGTCGGGAGGAGTCAAGTCTCGCTTTAGCATGATAGCTCGTAGCAATAACAAACTAAAGAAATGTTTCAAAGCAGAACGTGGCTGCTGCAGTGTCGGAGCACTAGGGCAGAATTTCACGAGAGAGAGAGAGAGAGAGAGAGAGAGAGAGAGAGAGAGAGAGAGAGAGAGA